CCCCCTTCCCCTTTTCCCCTTTCGGCTCTTGTACAGCTGATTTAGCGAGGAAATAAGCTGAGAACGATTTAGTTATTTAACAGCTAAAAGACACGGTCTTCCCCAGAGGACAGGAGTGTGATTTCTTAAACAAATCAGAGGACTTGAAAAAAAGGAAAGCACAATGAATCTTTTTCCTTTGAATGTACAAGCGTCTCAGAATGCAGATTTTTTGTGACAGTTTTGTTGGAAGGAGACTGTAGGACAATGATCTATTTTTGCATGACGTCCGTTCAGAGCCCGTATTCTTACCAGACGTCTCCATCTTTTATAGGTGTTTTACGCCCCCATAGGCACAGTAGATAATTTAGGAGGCGGGTTTTCGACCATGCCTGCTGAGAGAAATACAACGTGTCAGCAGAAAGACCGAGATACTCGATAAGAATTATGCCCACCCGGGAAACGAACTCCTGCGTGCAACATGTTGACAGCGAAGCACATAACCACTACAGTTTACTGACGCCAGTTAGACGTTTATGACAGCATCATTTTCCACGGCTACAGCGGCACAGCGTTGTAGCTTTTAACAGGCTCATTATAATCAATCACTGCCCTCAGCTTTCTTTGGCAACTATTTACTGCAAAGAACAGATCATGTCAATATAGTGATAAAAAGATTGGGATCGTTTCATGGAAAGATAAATTAATAGACAACTGGAAGAATGGGGCCACTACCCAAGAGGCTATGCATGCTTTTTTTATAAGGTACTGGAGTATTTTTTCGGGTTTTTAAAACAACTGTGACAGTCTTAATCACAGAAAAGACAGTGACAGTGCTGTTTTATTTTATTTTAAAATCACATTACCTTCAGAGAGGAATGGGAGGAAAGGTGTGTATGTGTGTGGAAGGGGGGGGGGGAGGGGTCGAATTAGATCTATTTGCTTTTTGTAGCAACTGTATAATTTTCCAATTTCTTTTTGAAAATGTATGAAAAGCAGACCCGATCCGTTTTTTTTAAAAAGACACGGAGAATCGTATTGTGTAGTAATGTACTGAAGATAGATTAGAAATATTGAATCGTTTCAGTACTTTTTCCTCAGTTAAAAGCCTGATAAGAAATATTAAGAAGGGAACGAAAGTAAGTGGTCCTACCACCTCTTCTTTCGACACCATGTATACACGGTGAAAGTCATTCTTAATTAAGGCTTGTTTTAGGGGAGGCAGATATTTGATTATGAGACGCCATGTTGTTTGTACTTGGCTTCTGAATCCCTCCTTCCGCTAAATGGTGAGACTGTAAAATATTAGCCGTCATAATGTAATGATTATTAGGCCCCTAAGATATTTTTTCCAAAAGCTCTAAACTTTGGCAACAGACCATAAGGTTTCTGAAGAAAATCGTGATTTGTTCAAAATGAAAACACATACACCCTTTCGTAACTTTGTAATTTCCTGTCCAAAAAGCAAGAAAGTGGTGTAGAGGTTTGGCGCTTCACTGTCGTATGCAGGAGGCCCAAAATCGATTCCCGGGTGTAAAGAAATGTTAATCAAGTACATGTGTGTGTATCTGTCTTTTTGCTGGGAAGTTGTATCCCTCTCAGGCCAGGTTGGCCCTGACAGGCAAGGTCCGAAGACGGCCTCCCTAATGATCTAACATGTGTTAATAGGGGTTTAAAAGACCAACATTTTAAAAAGCGAGAAAGGCAACATACAGGTTTTGTTTTGCACCAAGACTCCCTGCTTTATATTTTCTCTCCGCCATGACCCCCTGGCATTAAAAGCGCACACACGCTACCCCTGGATAGGAGCCTTGGCGCACGACGACTTTGAAGACAGAGAAGGAAAAGGCAAAACGTTAGCGCGGAGCCGCACAGACTTGTATCACCTGAGTCCCGTGGCATCTTGGACCAATCAGATCGCAGCCGCGTACCGGAGCAAGCGCGTGTCCCGCGGGATGTATAAAACCTCGGGCCTCTATTGTTGGAGGACTCAAACCCTGGCGATATTGTGAACAGTCGCACGAAAAGGGGCAGACCTGGATGTTAAGTTGGTGCTTTCAACTCGAGTGTGGCACTTTTTGCATCCTCGTGGCTTCTTGGAATTGTGAGGGAAACAAGTCTTAGTGAACGTCTACAATTTTCCTCAAATTTACAAGAATGAACTATATGACAACTGCTCTCCTTTATTCATGAACGATATTTACCACCTGTTGTAAGTGACATTTTGCTCAAGAATTATAATATTTCAAGACATTGTGACTCAGTATTTCAATCAAACTACCGAAACTAGTCGGTGCATCTTGGTCGAGTTCCGAATTTGTTGAGTGCTCGATATTTGCCCAGAATTGACCGATAGTATACTTGACCCAACATGAAGAATGTGCCTAAATTTTGTCTCATCTTCGCCTTGACACTACTGGTCATCAGCTGTGCTGACGGTCGGCGAAAGTCTCGCTCCAGAAGAAACAACGCATCGTGCCGTCTGAGATCTCTGGTCCGGTACAAACTGACACTCCGCACTCTGTGGTCTAGGAAGACTTTCCCCAAGATGTACCCCATGTACCGACCGCCGGCACAGTGGTCCACTATTGTTGGTAAGTCCGAACATTTCTTATTCATTTACTCTTGTCACATTATCATTTTCTTTGGAGGCGAAATATCTAGACGTTGAACGTCAGACCGACTCATTCAAAGTTCATTAAAGCATTTTGAACACACAGTGCTTGGTTTTTGTACAGAACACCTAGAAGGATCAGGGGGAAATGCCCGAATCACTACTGATGAGGTCTGTGTACTAACTGCGTCATTGAAACCAGGGTGGCTCTCTAAACTCGGACAGTAAGTGCTCTTTTCAATTAGTTCTGTCCTAATTTAAGAAAAGACGTAACGGCACACAATAATGGTCATGTAATCTTTCCATTTCTCCACACGTTGAACCAGGAGGCAGCCTGTTTCTTTACTAGTCTGACTCGGTCTGGACGTAGTGTCCGGCTCGAGAACGAGACTCTTCAAACTACTGTAGATGTCCTCTCTACAAGCTACCAAATGAAATGGTATCTTAATGTAGGTTTTACCAATGATGCAGAAAATAATGTGGTACTTCAGTTACGACTATACTACTTTTAAATGTCTTGCAATAATAACATGTTCATTACAGTAGATTTTGCATAGAGTGCTCCGGGGGAAATTTTTAGTAAAACTCCACCCATTGTGGGCACCTATCCATAAAGTGAATATGGTGTGACCATTCATCTTGGCCTGGCTGACCTCGTTAGTATCACTCGTGGAACAAAACTTTTGTTATTTGGATGTCTCCATTAAAACTGCTTGATCCGAGCCGAACGTTTCACATTTCGTATAATACGTATATCAGCGCAACTCTGCACAGGTCCCACAATTCCCTTCAAGTCTTGTAAATGCACGAAATTAGAAGTAAATGCAATAGTTGTTTAGTTCTCTCTACCTTTGCGTGAAACGTCGTAGAGAACTGGCTTGTGCTTGGAGAAAAGGAGTGCATACTTAGCGCACAAGAAACCCGTGCATATCAACAGTGTAATAGATCTACCTGTTTAGAGCATAGGAAAAAACCCACAACTGCAAAGAAAAATATTGATTAAATAAACATGAATAATCTAAATGGGTTTTTTTTTATCATACATGACCGTCTTTGATACGACACAGTGACATGAGATGCAGTACTACGACCCTTCTTTCTTTTAATGATTTTGTTTTTATTCAAACTCATACTTCTCTCTCTCTCTCTCTCTCTCTCTCTCTC